TCTTGAATAGCGGGAAAGGCACCTACTATTGGTTTATGTGGCTAACACTAAAACTACGTAAGATATATGACTCACCAGAAACCTGCGCGAACTACATACGGTTGATACAAGGAACATGTATGTCACAGTCTCAGTTCACAGTTAAGAAAGGCGTTTAGGGCGATAAGCAGCGCTGATGTTCTATGGTTGACTGTCATAAAGCAGAAAATCGAAAGATTACTCGCTGAGGAGTTAGTGACACAGAGCAAAACAAATACAAAGCAATTATGAAAAAAACCATTCGAAAAGCTAATCTGGAAATTGTGATCTTGTGGAATATTTCTGTGATTTAGCAAACCCGAGCGATATAACAGATGTAGGTGAGGTGAGGTGAAATTGGGTTTTACGTCGTGCTTGAGAATATTTCGCTCATATGACGACGTGCATGCGTGTGTATGTGTATGTGCGGCTGCTTGTACTAGCCCAGACTTAAGCTGGTTTTATAGTGCTAGCCCACTGAGATACCATGCCGCAGTGAAGCATGAATACCCCACTCAGACACATTGTACTGACTCCGAGCCGACCAGTCCTTATTGTACCCATTAATGACGAGCGCCAGACAGGGACCAAGAAGTACCATATTTTAACGTCTTTTGGTATGATGCGGTCGGGGATCGAACCCGCGACCTTCCACTCACCGGGCGGACGCTCTAACGACTACACCACGGAGGCGGTCTATAACAGATGTAGATGACAAGATGAAAGGTGATATGGGTAGTTCACACAAAGATAATATTATCCAATACTAGACAAAGAACTAGACTATAATATTTTATTGCACCAATCAATCGTGAACTGTCATTAAATGTAGTAAAACTCCTGGGTACAATAATGTCATTAATGGTTTTCTTAATACTAAAGGTAACCGTGAACGGTGATCCGGGTTAGAATTGATCATCAGTAACCCATGCTTGTCGTAAAAGGCGACTAACGGATCGGGTGGTCAGGCTAGCTGAATTGGTTGACACATGTCATCGTATCCCAATTACGCAGATCGATGCCCTTGCTGTTGATCACTGGATTGTCTGGTCTCGACTCGATTATTTACAGACCGCCGCCATATAGCTGGACTATTGCTGAGTGCGGCGTAAAACTAAACTCACTCACTCTTACTAATGGTATTGGTTTCTTTTTTTATTAGTGCTACGTAATTGCATATTATCAACAGGTTATTTCCAAGTGTCATATTTGTCATTCACCAGAAAGGCTCAAAATAAATTGACTATATTTATTGAAATACATGCTATTGATCTGCACAAGGTTTTCGATTATATCAACGGGGGTTGGAGCATTATGGTGAAAGCTTGATAATATGGGTGTCCAAAACTATTGATGTTACTAATATCATATCATGTAATATCATATGTATGGCGGTAGTAAGTCATGTGTAAAGAATTTAGATGGTATTTATGGAAAGATTTTCTGTCGTTCCATGGCTTTAGGCAGGTTGAAAATCTGTCACCTATAATATTTCCTTCTGATGGTTACAGGAATGATCAATATGTGAAAATCTAGGTGTCGTGATAGATAATAATTGTATATTACTCATACTAGTTGTAGACCATGTAGTACTTACAAAATAATCCATTCAGGTACTCCTACGAAATGCGCACCTCAGGACAACGGTGACAAGGGTGATATTCAGCAAGGGTGGTAGAATAGCAAAGAAAGAAAAATGGTTGTACAATGGAGGTATCTTGTGTCCTCATATAAATATCTAGGGAGTTTGTTTTCTCCAAGCGCTGTGACTCCACAGTGGGTTGTGACTATTTAAGTCTCCAAAAAGCAAGAGAGACAAGATTACCGAGACCGTTGAAGCATGTGGAATATGCAAACACAAAAGGGGTTTCACAAGCAAGTTTATACGGTCAGTAGCGAGTGTCTATTGATGCAAACTTGTCACATTCGCCTCATTGATGCCACTAAACGTCGATGAAAGTCCGTGGTAGGATCAATCCATATCTGAGGAAGGATTTGGCAGAGTTCATGCAGTGTTGTTTCAGGGTTCGGATGACAACGTAAACGTCACTCAGTTTCATCTCAGACGTGTTCAGTGAAAGACAAATTTGGAAATCGTGCGGGCCAGGGTAACGCATGAACATTGTTCTGATTAAAATGCTGCTGCATGACTCGAGCAACATGTGATCTGGCGTTATCTTGTTGAAACGTCACCCCAGAGCCGTTCTGTTGCAAAGCGGCCATTTGCAAAATCTCGCCTCAGCACCCAAGGATACAAAATGAAATTTCAACTGTCTCTTTCTTGGACCGGGGATCTGCTGTTAAAGTTTCTCGAACAATAGAAAAATATTGTGTTTAGGGCATTTCGTCCTTGCCATTAGCTTCATCCATAGGGGCGTGGCTCGCTTAGAAACAGCGTTAGGAGGACATATAGGTATATAGACCTATGAAGTAATAGGGTAGGGTCTATGTACATATATGCTTTTCTAACGCTGTTTCTAAGCGAGACACGCCCCTGTGATCTCATGTCTCTTCAAGAGAAGGAGAAAACTACATCAAAGATAAAATCAGGAACATACACCACAGTCACGTGGAAATATAAATATGCATAATATATGTTCCACATCCCCTGGTTGTCTTGTCAAAATTCGTAATTGGGCAAGTGGCACTACCTGAGGAACAGGAGGTGGGGTCATTATTTCAGTGATCTATTCACATAATGTTCACCGGTACTTTGTCTTTTACGCCCAGTGGAATAAGTTTTGGGAGATAGTTATTCACATTCTCTGGCATTAATGTTTGACAATAATTACCCTCACTGGAAACATTATATCTCGAACACGAATAGGTTTCACGCTGTACTACGGTTGGGCATAAGAACGGCGTATTCGTTGTGACGAGCCAACACGAATTCAACCCACTTGGTTTCCCCACTTCCGATTCCCTGCTGCCCTGTTGTATTCACGTTTATACAATAAACACTAAAAGCAATTATTCGAAACTATGTTTTTCTTTGTTCGCAACTAACTTACTTCCCTCGGAAGCTTTACAACAACGTTTTTCTACATTCCTCCTCGTGGGATTGGTAGTGTGCCATCACAGTCGACCAGCATAACACGGAAACCCGTAATATCAGAGCAGTTTACTAATGGCATGATGATCTGACCACATGTGAGTTATGGCGATTTGATAATGTTACAGAAATCCCATGAGCAAAAACATACATAATTTGATTACCTTGGGAAGTACGCTGTAGAATGTTAATAAATATCCTTCTATCAGTGACTGCTCCGAGAGTTGTTATGGCTACGAAGCCTGTTGTATCAATTATTAATACGTCGGGTAGAAATATGAGCCGCTTCAAAACTGGCTTTGCAGCCGTGCACATCGATATGCAAAATGTTAGTTATTGTCAACGGAACATGAATTTATGATGAGGTTGATATATAATGATAAAAGTAAAATGTAACAAACCTTAAACTCATGTACACGATGTTCACCTTTCGCCACACAATAGACGACAGGGTGTACTGAAATAGCATCAAGCAAGGGAATACATTTCCACGACTGGAAATATAAGATGATGTACTGACTTTGAACAACGCAGCATGAATAATTGATGTGATCAAAGTCGTGACGGAATTAAGTTACAAAATAGGTTCAAGCGTTGTATAGCTAACACACCATACGTCCAGGGACAAATGTGGCACTCTGAGAGTCACTTTCAAAAATCACTGTAGTGTTAGTTGTTCCACAGACATTTCAGTACAGTTCTTCGTGGTTTCATTGTTCATCATTTGTTGTGCTTTGCACAGAACACGGTGGTTTTAGGTGATGGATGGTATCTGGGGCTGATGTGCGGTCCTATATTTATGATACATAAACATTTATACATGCGTGCAGCCTAGTAATTATCTCTGTATGTTGTACTGTATCATCTATGGTTCTATATTTGTTTCAACCTACTGCTGACAGTTAAGATGGTATATTTAGGTGATAATTGTACTGTGTTTGACGAATTGGGGACGTATACCGTTGGTTATATATCCGCAAATTTAGTTATATCGCGCAAGACAATAATGACGTCATAAATCTTGTTTCTATAATCTAACAGTGTTGGTCAACAGCCCGTTGCGAGTTGTTTGAAGTAAACTTACAATTAAATTATAATACTGTTTCGACTTTTGTAGCACAAAGTCCATCCATTTTGCTATAATAGGGGAGTTAATTGAAGACCTAGGGCTTCTGCAAATGATAATGCCCAGAAAAACAGCGTTACCCCTTTCGTGTAGGGATACATTCAAAAGTGTTGGTGAATCGGTTTTCAAATTGCGACCTTATATGCTGATTATACGGTCGGAAATATATAGCATTGTCCGATCTGAAATTGTGTTACACACTAAGTTGAATTAGGATGTCCGTTAGCCTTGGTTTGATACTTGCTCTATCTTTGTCAACGAATTTAATCAATAATGTGAAAACGTATGCTTTAGCATATCATCGAAACCAGTGGTTGTACGAAGATCATATTTTCACTCTGGATATCGAGGTTACTTCCTAAACTTGACCACTGTTGCCGCTTTGTGAATATTATTGTCTCTGCCCTAAATGTCATTACCGCTGCCTTTTTGTTTTATTCTACCATTATATACAATTAATAATGAAGGGGATAGTCAATAAAAAGATGAAACTATACATACATACATACGTACATACCTACGTACATACCTACATACCTACATACATACATACATACATACATACATACATACATACATACATACATACATACATACATACATACATACATACATACATACATACATACATACATACATACATAATAATGATGGGGTTTTGTATCCCGCTAGATTCCATATTCTCGAGTATGCTCAAAGCGGCACATAGTTCAAAGGTCATAGTGTTCACGGAATAGGAAGGTCTTTAGTCGTGATCTGAAAGAGTCAAATGAAGGAGAGAGTTTAATGTTTAGAGGCAGTGTTTCAGAGTCTTGGGGCATGAACACAGAATGACTTATCACCAAACCTTGAGAAGTTGTACTGAGGAATAGACAGAAGGTGGAGGTTGTCTGAGCGCAGTGAACGTTGGGACTGGTGGTGATTGAGTAGACAGGATAGGTATGATGGAGTCAATCCATGGTAGCACTTGTACGTCAGGCACAGTCTGGCTTCTACAGGAAGCCAGTGTAGTGATTGAAGAACTGGTGTAATTGGGGAGAATTTGGACACCCTTGACACCATCCGTGCTGCAGTGTTCTGTACTTTCTGGAGCCTTTGTAGTAATGATTTCTTGATTCCAAAGAGGAGGCTATTGGCATAGTCTAGCCGTGAAAGGACAAGGGATTGGACCAAGATTTTTGTGGTTTCAGTGGTTAGAAGATGACGGATCTGGCGGATGCATCTCAGGTGAAAGTAGCATGTCCTGCAGAGACTGTCTACCTGCTTCTCCATGGTGAGCTGTGAGTCTAAATAGACACCAAGACTCTTCACTTCGTCCGAGAAATATATTTCAGCTTGTCCAATACTAAGATAAGCCTCATCCACTGACTGAAGTTGACGCTTAGACCCTATCAGTATAGCCTCGGTCTTGTCGTCATTAAGTTTGAGTTTCCTACCAGTCATCCAAGCCTTAATATCCGATGTACATGCTGTTGTGCGATCCAAAGCTTGACTTATGTTGCTTGGGTGAAAACTATCAATGAGCTGGGCATCATCAGCAAAAGACTGGTGTTTCATCCCATGTTGATCCGTGATATGAGCAAGATTTTTTGTGTAGATGACAAACAGCACAGGGCCGAAGACAGAGCCTTGTGGAACTAACACTAACACTAACATACATACATTCATGCATACATACATTTTCTTCTAATTCTTGCCAAAAATACCTACAAACACGTTATCGGAACAATGTCAAAAAGGTAATCCCTCTATGAGTGAAGTAAACATGTTATTCTTCATATCATAAATTTGAAAGGTGTCTTTCTTTCAGTCATGGGGCGGTTGGGTAGCCTAGTGGTTAAAGTGTTCGCACGTCACGCCGAAGACCCGGGTTCGAATCCCCACATGGGTACAATGAATGAAGCCCTTTTCTGGTGTCCCCGCCGAGATATTGCTGGAATATTGCTAAAAGCGGCGTGAAACCAAGCGCGGGTATTTACAATCGCCCTTAAACGAAAACGTATGCGTTACTCCATTCTGCAGGCTTTTATGTGGAAATCATTAGAATCATATTCCACACTTTGTTTAGTACGTGTATTTATCATCTAATGAAGGGTGTTATCGGTGCAATAAAGCAATCTGATAAACTTGGTATCCAAATCTGATAACTAATGCAAATTACGTCAATCCACGATACTTTCTCAAAACTCCATACATGCTGTGCGAATCTAAAAACGTTTAACATTTCATTGATGCACGTTAAATTATTGTCCTCCTGAGAGGGTACGTAAGTCCCAAAGCAGTTTAAAGTAAGTTATACTTGCCAATATTTAAAATATTTTTGTTATTTTAAAGTATGGCTAAATTTTCCTGCAATTGCCAGCGACCGGATAGATGATGTAAATCCAGCTAGGACCCATGCAGGTAGCAAATGCACTGTAAGTCTCCATGGTCACTAGTATGGTGATCTACCTTCAGTTGTTGGCGATTTATAGCCTGTTTTTATGTTGTACTGTCTTCGTAAATTCAATAGTTTTAGATTTACATTCTAGCTTTAGACACCATCCGTGATACTGGAGTTATTTTACAGTCCTTCGATGACTAGTTATTTAACAACTTATATTTATTGTGTATGGAAAACCTTTCTCGTCACTATATGGCTGAAATATTGCTGAGGTGACGTAAACTTTTAACTCACTCACTCACTCCAGCAGACCTACACCAAGAGGCTACAGGATTGATATACTGCGTATGCAGTATTGTAACATACCAGATTTGCCCATGAACCACCGGCTTTTGGCAATTATGGATTTGATTAATAAATAGTCAAAAAGTCACACAGGTCAATGAATTTCTAGCAAAATATACTTCAAAATATATTAGAAATATGCCAGTTTAGGAAAAACATTAAATTCCTAATACGCTAGCCAATGTGATCTCAAAGACTCAGGAATTATTACTTTTTATTATCACAATAGTTTAGGAAGAATGTCCAAATCTTAAAAGGCTTGAAAGGACGTCTGCACTTTCATCTTTTTATTTATCTATATAAAATGTGTCCGTCAATGTAGTGACAACCGAGATAAAGGAAATTACATATGTTTAGAACATGTTAAAACCCTGCATTGAGAACACGGCGCCAATGGTAACCCAATGCTTGTTTGATCGACATTCTTGAAGTACAGCTCTACAGAAGATAAAGTGTACTACACCCAGGTGATCAGAAGTACATGTGCATAGTATCTTCTTTGAGTGGCATTTTTAGAAGTTAGAGAGTCAGATAATGACAAACTTTGTGTCTTGACCATTGTTTTACATGTAGTGAATCAGATAAAGGGACCCCCTTCTGTCAACTTCCCTTACGACAAATCTGTTACTCTGTGTAAGGCACGAAAAGAGACGTGCCTATACAATATGTGTCATAGCTAAAACATTTTGTCAAAAAATATTATTTTCTAGAGAGCTTTTTTTTATTACAGCAGAAGTTCAATAACAAGATATAATAATAATTATTATACAAGCGAATACATTTCACGTTGAACCTACATGTATGTGGTATAAAAGACAAACACTCTCAATGCCATTTCGACATGTGCGGAACATGACATAATGTAAGCAATACTGTCATTTGTATCACTTTCAAACCCTGTTTGAAGCAGTTGAGGCGGTCCAGTGGTGATATATAATGCAGTTTGTAAGGCGTTGTGAAGCCGTATCCAAGAGCTACCGCCGGTGAAAGTTTCTGCTGGATATTAACACTGATCAATGCAACTCTGACATATACTTTTTAAACACAGTTACAACATGACATGTAAAACAGAAAATGCATTTATACATAGGCATTTCTTTTGTATCCATTCCATTGCAATGTATCAGGTAGAAGACTGGCACATGTAAATATAACGAGATGTGTTAACAATTGTCAGTGTCTTTACTTGCTGACGTCAGTATTACGAGTAATGTGTCTCTTTTACAGTTCAGGAGTAATTTGATACGGGAAGAAATCACACTCATGATATTCAATTACAGTCATCAGAAAAGCCCAAGGTTGCCCTGTATCCTGATGTTTGTCTTTCGCCTGTTGCCATAGAAATGTTATCGAAAATCAAATATCGGATTACTGTGCGAAGTGGTAAATTAATGTTATAGATTGTGGGGTGTGGTAAAACTATTATGACTCTTTAGATGAATTAGGAGACTTTGATTTTTTAGTAGCCAGTGTATATGAAACGTTACTGAAGTTTCGTTGGTCGTATTAACATATCCAAAGTATGGACGACCGTGACAGTTAAAAACCTTTGACAGTGAAATCCAACTTACTTGGACAATGCATCTATTATTATCAGGGCGGTGGGGTAGTCTTGTGGTTAAAGCGTTGGCTCGTCACGCCGAAGACCCGGGTTCGAATCCCCACATGGGTACAATGAGTGAAGCCCATTTCTGGTGTCCCCCGCCGTGATATTGCTGGAATATTGCTAAAAGCGGCGTAAAACCAAACTCAGTCAGTATTATTATCACGAAAAGGTATTTCTGTCACAAATGTTCAAAATATGCTATTTAATATAGGAAATGGAAATAGATTGGAGTTAAAGATATATCCTAAACGGTGGTATTATTTAAAATAGTCCCTTAAACATAGTATTTAAGCTTTCAAGAGATGTGTCCCGTCGAATATCGATAGTAGTATATATACTGCTATATGAATTTCGAATTCGTTGCAAATTTGTTCGTATGCCCGTCGATCGTACGGATTGTTCACTGCATCCCACGCTTTGTCCTGTGGAAGCGGAGCTCTGATTTCTTTGAGGATACGTCTTATCTGATAGTACACATGAAACATAAACACAGCCCGACCCAGCGGGCCACGTCGATTGTCGCACAACGCCAAGCCGCACCCCGTTGTAGCGCACCACACGGCGAAATTGAATTGATTCTGCCAGAACTGCACAGAGTTGTGCACCGTTTTCACATTCGCCACCGAAACCCTGTAAGTTTTAAACACATCAATAAACTGTGCTCTGAAATGTAAACCATCCGCATCGACCACGGTCTTCATGTTCGTGAAATCTATATCCATTTTAGGGTAAAACACTCCCGGTTTGTACATTTAAAAAAATATTATATAATGGGTATATATACTTTAATATGTACGTGACACTTCCAGGAATAACGAGCGGTGAGTCCGTTCAACTGATGCACGCAATCGATAACACGTCGGGTCAACTCGAAGTCGCACTCTGCGATATCACCTACCTACGGCGATGGACCAACATTAACAGCAGCAACAACAGGCTGTTCGTCAATGATAAACTTAACCACATAACGGACGGCTACTACAGCGTATGCTCTCTCAGCGATGAAGTCTTCGAACCCGTGGGAGTCGAACTCAAAATTAACGACTCGAACTGCACGGTCGTGTTAGCCAGCAACGGAAGAAACGTCTTGAGACTCAGCCGGACGTTGGCGAGAACATTCAGGTTGCCGTCGAGCGAAATACCCCCGACAAACACCGTCACAGGCATGGGATTACCCGACCTAGTTCCATACCGCGAACTGTGCATTCATCTCGACCAGCTGAACACTACGGACAACATTCAAGGTGAACGCTGCTGAGAGCCGTACCGGTGAAAACGGAAACGTACAACGACGGCAGAACCGAGTCGTTTTCGTCACGGCAGTACAAGAAATTAACGCGAGGTACCATCTCGGAATTGAAAGTATGTTTTTTAGATATAAAAAAACATCCTATTGATATAGGGTACCTCAGCATAACGCTGCACATACGATAATGACTAGCGCTCAAGGACCCGGGACGCGATTAGGAAAATGTTCCAACCTAGCGATCTCCGACCTCGGGGACACACGCGGGTTCTACGCCCCAGGAATAGACGGTAAACTGTACGCCTTGCAGCTTAAAAATAACATTTACAAACGCGTTGAAGTCCCCGCCGGGGGGTCCGACAGTAACTTAAGTGATATCGTTGATACCGCAGGAGCGAACAGCAACACTCGGTACGTCCTAGTACGCAGCGGTGGGGATAAATGGATGATATACCCAGCGTTCGGGGGCAAAGTGTTCGACCTTGACGACGTCTAGGCCATGGTCGTCGCTCGAAACAAGCAGTACAGCCTCGTCTTCACCGACGACGACAAATTTGGGTTGGTACAATCTCGAACCGACTGGTTTCTCAACATCACGCTCGGCTCTCCCTACGTGTTCACAGAAAACAAAGACCACTACCTAAACAAAGTCGTGAACGGAACCCTGGTCGTGGCTTACGTCCCGACAGAGAGGCGCAGTGTGATCATCAGCGCAGTCTCAAGTACGACTTCCCACATGCTATCGAGTAAACCCGGGGAGCAAAACGTGGGGGTGCAAATAGTGTCTGAATTCGAGGGCGTTGTCAACATCCTTGAAAATCTACCGGATAATTCCACGCTGGTCATCAAAGTCTACCTCGGTGAACCATCATCACCAGTCGAAATCGTGAAAGGAATCAAACTCCGATGGACCAAACAACAACAATACAACCTTTGATCTGTTTACGTGCGGGTTGACGTCGATTCCCACACCAGTC